GCAAAATGACACTTATAATATGATATCTTCTTTTGTCTTTAACAATTTAAATAATTTGAAATGAAAAGAATATATATTTTGTAATATAAAAATTTAAAAATATTACATATTTTAGTACGATGGTTTTTTATTTTTGTTAATTAGTCCATAAACCTTGTTTAAAATATATTTCTTATTTTAATTTTTAAATTTTTGTTAATATTGACACATGTCACAATCTAAATTAATAATTACATGTGTCGTAATCTGGTGAGTTATAATTTTGCTTATGTGTCGCGTTCTCATCGTGCGCATTCTCCTTTATATAATAAAATTTCCAATATTAACAAAAAATAAGAATATATTCTAAACAAGGATTATGGACTAATTAAGAAAAAGGAAAAAAAGTCATTCAACTAAAATATGTAATATTTCTAAACTTTTATATTAAAAAATACATTCATTCCATTATAAATTATCTAAATATTTAAAGACAAAATAAAATGTCATATTTATAAGTGTGATTTTGCTAATATAATAATGTACATGAGACAATTTTTACGATAAATAAAATAATAAATATTTAAATATAATAAAATATAATAATAAAATAAATATTAAATATTTGTGTGAGTCGTAATTTAGAATCTAATTATATTTATCAAATTATAGGCGTTATAAATTATAAAATCAAAAATATTTACCACAATAGATTTTTATATCAGCATGACACGTAAACAAAATTATAACTACAAAAGTTAGAAAAGTTATATAAATCTCAATTTAAAAGTTTAAAAATATACACAACATGCAAAAATAAAATAAAAATAAAATATATTTAATATTTTACGGACTTCACTTCATAGACAGTCTTTAATTTCATGTCACAAAACATTTAGTCCGCAAGCTAAACGTCTTACTTCCCAAGTTATCTCCAATAGTAACTCATACGAACTAGATGGATGCGAAGGTACTTGGAGCTCTATATATCTTGTCCTATAATTTCATGACTTTTCTTTTCAAGTAGATATTAATGAGTATACACTTGTCGAATAAGATGGACGTGATACCAAGTATTGTATCGACGGCCAAACTAGTCAAAATATGCAAGGACGTTATCGATGCCCTAAATTTATATACGTCAAGTCGTCAATTATGTTACTCTAAATTTCTTTTACTAGTGTACTTTCAAGTTTTGAATTTTTATGAGCATAAACAGCATGATTATTATTATAAAATGACTAACCGTAAACTACTTCAATAATATGCTTTATGAGTTTATGGGGTTTTATTTAGAGGAAATTTGTAAAAATAACCTCAAACTTTTTTTTTTTGAAAACTAACCTCTTTTTGAAATCTTTGAAAATAACCTTTTTCATACTTAAAACTATGAAAATATCCAAATTAAAATCATTATTTTAAGAAAATAAACATGGCATGGTTTATTAATAAAAAAAATATAAATCATCATATTAGTTGGGGAGGTTTGGTTCTACAAAAATTTCAAAATTTGAAAACTAACCCATGTTGTTAAAGTTTTGAACACTAACTCTTTAAAAAATAACTAGACAATAATTCTTTATAAAAATTGAGAATGTATAAATACATATAGCATATATGAATATAGATTTGATAAATTTTCAACTACTAGTAATCTAAATGGCCGTCTAACTAGTATAATTATATCACTGCTGTTGTTTCAAGTAACTGC